ATTTAACATTAATTTTATACACAAGTGTATAATATTTGTATTTCCCACAACATAGCGTATTTATATATCACTTGGGTAACAAATGGAAGTACTATGTTATAATTTTGGTCAGATTCTCCACACTGTTCTGCTTTAAGAAATTCCCAGCCTTGGGCCCTGGGTAGCTGCCATTCACCTGTAAGCACCGTGGACCTGTACAAGCCTGAGAGTGACAGAGCAGGTGCTCGAGGGCCTGTGTGAAATGGCATTAGTGGAGGATGCTAAGTGACAGTGAGGTCACAGGGTCTTTATCAAGGGGGAAAGCGTATGTCAGAGGGTGCCATCCCCAGCGTGTGTTCCTGAGGTGTCAGCACTAGTCTCACCTGGGAATCTGTTAGACGTTCAAACTCTTGGTCTCCACCCAAACCTACTAAATCAGAAACCCCGAGCCTTGCAGGTGACTCCAAGGGGGCTGAGCTGGAGCACAGAAGCCTGGCCGGGGGAGGGCGCTGCGTCCCCAGGGTGGTGCTCCCCTCTCGGGGTTGGTGGGAAGGTTGATGAAGGTCACTTGTGAAGAGCAGTCAGCAGGGTGGCCAGCACGTGGCGGTGTAAGCACCGTCTGCTTGTGATGGTTGCTGTTACTATTATACTAATAACGGTTACTGAGCCGTTATTGCTATTTTGCTTATCTAAGCCTCATGTCATTTTGTTACTGATGCTGTCACTATTTATCTGCAGCTTCTTTCCCACTGTGGACCCTTCTGGCCCAATCCTGACTCCATTCTTACTCATTATTTGCTCACCTGCTTTTTCTTACTGATCTGACAACTTTCTGGCCGTTTCTGGGTCAATTTCTCTCTGACAGGACAGCATGTTCCAGCTCAGCGTGGCTTGTTTCTTTGATCACCCATCCTTATAACACCTTCTTTCTTTGATAGAATTTTTTTCTTCTCTGTAGATGGCAATGAGAGCTCCCTTCCTGTTTTCCTCATTTTCATTATTTGGTCCCCAACATTGGAAGTGTGGTTCATACAGCTAAATACCTTGTCCCAAGTGCCTACTATTTAGTTTTATTTCAAAATGTGTTTGTCTTCTTCTTTTATCTCCAGAGCACAAATGTGACACAGCATCAGCACGCAGTGACTCCACACCAGGCTTCTTTTACTGGCTTGTAGGAGGAGAGGGTAATATTGAGCTCTGCATTCAATACTTTCAAGAATTTCACTTCAATAAAGACATCACCATTCTAAGAACTACAATCCCACCCACAGCTGGAACGATATGACAAAAACTGCAGAAACAAACACTATTTCAAGAGACTGAATAAAACTGCTAGTATAATATAGTGTGGAATATTGCTTTTCTGGGGGATTAAGAGAGCACAAATTAAGAGAAAACATTCTTCTATTTTTCTTCCCATTCTTAAGGCTTGGGAAACTGTTATTGTCCCTTAATGTCTTAGAAGGTAAGGCAGATAGATGGATTGCAGAATCACTAAGGGAAAGAAACTACAGATGGTGCATGATTATATGAAATGAATATGTATCAATAATGAATAGATTTCACAAGAGAAGACTGCTGAGGAATAAAATACAGTGAACTAAGAGCATATTATGAAGTGTAAACAATAAAGCCTTTGGGTAAGATTGAAGGATGCAGAGATACTGGCTCTTGATAGAACAATAGCAAAGACGTCATTTGCCAAATGTACTGTGACCACACTGGGCTGTGTGACCACAAGAGGCTGTGCAGGTTGATGAGTGGGAAACTCCTACTGTGAAATAGCAATCATTGTAAATTTCTGGCAGACCAGGAAAGAAGCATGAAGTGTATGTGCACCTGTGTGTGTGAGTGACAGCAATGTGTAGGGACAGGGAGATGGATGATAGATAGCAGATGCTTGGTAGACACATAGATCAAGATAGGAAGAAGTTTTCAGGAAAAAAAGGATGCAAAGAATTGCTTGAATGTAGAACAGAGTACAGGAAACTGTGAAGATCTTGGGGGTGGGGGTGGGGTTTGTGATACACAGACAAGAACACTGGTCTACCTTGCAAAGACCTTGGACCTCATTCCTTCTCCCAAGACCCAGCTGTGTGACAAGAGGTATCCCTCCAGCCTCCCAGTTTCAGTGCCCTCCTTAGCAAAGTGCCTGTCCACGCAGATGGTTTTGACAATCTTTTCCACTCTAACATTCTATGACTCAACAGTAGTAATGCATTTCCACAGGCGGTAAAAATATTCTAGACTCTTCCCTTCCAGCACTCACTGTTTACTTCCTCTGCACTTCCCTTTCCGGCCTCCCTGTGTGCTGGTCAGTTCATAGCTGGCCTCGGTGACAGTGGGTTAACCCTGTCTTCCCAGGGTGTTTGACTACTGAGCTCCCTCCAGGGGCTGGGAATGCCCGTGAAGGCTTTGGCTGGGATTCAGTTTCATTCTTAAAACATTCCTTGAGCCTTCACTCTATTCTGTGCACTGTGCCAGATTACCAGGGATTGGGAGGTAAACGCATAGCCATGGCCTTTTAGCAAGTGGTCAGTGGCCATTTCTGCTGGGGTGCTCTTAGTAACCACCTGTGAATACCACATGTCCCTCTTTCTTTCAGGCAGTAGCAGAGTCCCATGGTAGCCAGGTGGGTGAAGGGGAGCGAAAACGTTTCTACCTGCCTTGAAGAAGACACCTGCTGGCCTGCCAAGTGAGTGACCAGGTAGTAGACTGTTCTAAGGGCACCGGGCACAATAGGGAGGGCGGAGGACAGAGAAGACTGTGGCACCTTTGACTGATGCCTGCAGCTGCTGTCTTTCCCATAGAGAGACGCTGTGCCCAGCGCACCCAGTGGCTCTAGGTGTCACTCCATGGTTTATGCCCCCAAACCCTGTTAGGAGGCACTTACCCTGACAGGAGGCTATCAGTGCCATTAACTCCCACACTAGATACACAGGACTGCAGCCAGAGAGCCCTCAGCAGAAACAGGAAAAAGATCCAGCTCATCCCAAGGCTGGCCTGCTGCCACTTTGAAAGAGAGGTTAAAACAGAAGCTTCATGGCACCTCCTCCATAAAAGCAGGGCCAAGTTTTCCAGAATCTGGTGGAGGGCTGAGCTTGGCACTTTCCTTGTGCCTGCAGGACACTTGTGTCTCACTCACTGGAAAACTTAAGCCTCTGTTTTTATTTCAGTGGATTGAATGGCATGCACTTTCCCTGGCAGTTTCTTTAAAAAAACAGACATGCGTGCACTTACTTGTCCATGGCTGCACTTGCGTCTGGCGGTGCCCACGCTGCCTGTCTGTGCATTTGGGCCGTGCCAGCGCTTCCCTTCCAAACCTTTGCTGTGCTTATGTCCCTCTTTATTACACTGAGAAGTGTTACTGAGGGTCTGATAAAGCCACATTCATCAACGAACCTTGTACTTTTCTTCTAAAGTATTTCCAAGGAACATGGAATTGGCTTCAAGGTAAAGAATTCTGAATAACTTATGGCTCTTCTTTGAAACAAAAATGAAAAAATGGTTTTCCTTTCTTAGAAAAAAACAATAGTCATTGCAGGGGGGCATTTCATAAATGACAGACTCTTTTTTTTTTCCCTCCTCCGGGTCCCTTGTCTAAGGAGACACGCTCTTAATAACGTCACAGGAGAATTAAGTGCCCAAACACACTTGCTGGGTCCTGAAGAAGTATTCACTTCTGACAGATACAATTTCCATTTCCTTGAAGGAATTTGCCCAGAGGATTACTTTCAAAACTTCTATTGAGATAATACTGCTCTAACAGAAAAGAGTATTACATGAATCATAAACCCTTCCTAAAAGGGGGGGATTTTGTTTTGTTCTTAAAATACTAATGAGGTGGAGAAAAAAATGCCAGTCGGGTAGAGTTACCTTGTAATCACTCACTTTATCTTGTTCGAGGAATGTGGGGCTAATTGATTTGAGTCACCAGACAGGTACTATAAGATGTGGGCCAGCTTCATGGTCAGCTTGTTCCTGGCTGTTGATGTAGGCAGAGCGTCCCCTGGGCTGAGTGTGGGAACCCCCAACTTCCTCCTGGTAGGTCTTTTCTGTTATAATGTTAGATGCCTCCACTTACTGACTTTTCCTTTTGTTCTTTAAAATGCGTTCCTCATGCTGCTTCTCCTCAGTTCTAAAGAATAAAGCAGAACTTTTGTGCCATAGCTAAATGTCATACCTAAAATAACATTGGTAGCACTTGTCCAGGAATAACTGGCTTATCAATGGAGCCATTAATAAAGCTTAATTACTCGCTTTAAGCATGTTTTTGGTTGTTTGGAGTTATTCTCCTATGTCTCTGAAAATTAGGAGAGGTCATATGTTCTAAATTATTCATGGGGTTGGGGTGTGATTACCTGGTATTACAAACAATGTCACACAAAAAGTAGGTTTCAAAAAATTGTGTCAATGCTAGCTGAGTTTTTAAATTTTATATTATAGTAGTCTCCATTGCTATATCAAAAATTACCTTATTGATGGTAGATTTTGGTTATATCAGTATTGATCTATGCTCAGTCAAATAATGTTTTTATTTCCTATATTGGGATTTATGATAGCTGAGTATAAATGGATGTTCATGTGGGATTGATGCCTAAGAGCTTATTATCACAAAAAGAAGCCTAGCATCAGTTTTTGGAATGTGAGGCTCTGTTTGGGCACTCTTTCACATTTAATTATCCCAGAAACCGTGAGGAGGAGGCTTATCACCATTTCAAAGATGAGGGACTGAGACCCAGAGAGGTTAGATGGCACTTTCCGTCACAGAGCCTGCAGTCAGCCTTGAGCGCTGGTCGGCCTTCCCCAGAGGCTGTGTCCTTCACTCTACCCTACCAGCCCCAAGGCCCAAATTCATTAATCTTGCCTTCAGAATTCTTCCTTCTCGCATACCTCCATTTAGATTCATATTTCCCATGACTGTTCTATTTTCTGGAAGTTTCTCCACATGTGACCATAATGAAATAATGACAAAGACCATAATGTCTTTGTCATTTCTTTAGGTGACCCTGAGGCTGGTGATGGATCCCATCCATGTCAGCATGTCCAGTGCCCCCCTGGTGAAGCACACGGCTGCAGGGGCTGGACTCAAGTCCACCAGACCCCGAGTCATGTCCAAGAGCGGGCACAGCAACGTGCGGATCGACAAGGTGGATGGCATCTACCTGCTCTACCTGCAGGACCTGTGGACCACCGTCATCGACATGAAGTGGCGGTACAAACTCACCCTGTTTGCTGCCACGTTTGTCATGACCTGGTTCCTTTTTGGAGTCATCTACTATGCCATCGCGTTCATTCACGGGGACTTAGAACCTGGTGAGCCTATCTCAAACCACACCCCCTGCATCATGAAAGTGGACTCTCTCACGGGGGCGTTTCTCTTCTCCCTGGAGTCCCAGACCACCATCGGCTACGGCGTCCGCTCCATCACTGAGGAGTGCCCTCATGCCATCTTCCTCTTGGTTGCTCAACTGGTCATCACCACCTTGATTGAGATCTTCATCACGGGCACTTTCCTGGCCAAAATTGCAAGACCTAAAAAACGGGCCGAGACCATCAAGTTCAGCCACTGTGCAGTCATCACCAAGCAGAACGGGAAGCTGTGCCTGGTGATCCAGGTGGCCAACATGAGGAAGAGCCTCCTGATCCAGTGCCAGCTGTCTGGCAAGCTCCTGCAGACCCACATCACCAAGGAGGGGGAGAGGATTCTGCTCAACCAGGCCACCGTCAAATTCCACGTGGACTCGTCCTCGGAGAGCCCCTTCCTCATTCTGCCCATGACGTTCTACCATGTGCTAGATGAGACCAGCCCCCTGAGAGACCTCACTCCCCAGAACCTAAAGGAGAAGGAGTTTGAACTCGTGGTTCTCCTCAACGCCACCGTGGAGTCCACTAGTGCTGTCTGCCAGAGCCGGACATCTTATGTCCCAGAGGAGATCTACTGGGGTTTTGAATTTGTGCCTGTGGTTTCTCTCTCCAAAAATGGAAAGTACGTGGCTGATTTCAGTCAGTTTGAGCAGATCCGGAAGAGCCCAGATTGTACCTTTTACTGCGCAGATTCTGAGAAGCAGAAACTTGAGGAGAAGTACAGGCAGGAGGATCAGAGGGACAGAGAGCTGAGGACACTTCTGTTACAACAGAGCAACGTCTGACCTCGGATGTCATCACAGTTTACATCTGCGGGCCATTTCCACATCCGAACTCCCTCCCAACACAAAGGTTGCTGTGAAAATGAAAATGTGTGGACACACTCTGAAAAACTGGACGGACAGACAAAATCCATCTCTTCCTTTGATCTGGTGGCTAAACGAGCATTTCCATGTTTGAGAGAGTTCCTTGCAAGGGCTTCGTCTGAAGTGAACTCTCAAAACTCAAATATTCTAAAATGGGGCTACATTTCAAAGAACCTGGTGTAAGGCAGTTGGAGTAATGTCCTATTGGAGAAACAGACATTTAGCAAGGTTGATATGGAAAGTAAATGCATTTCTATACAAGTATATGAGAAATAATATAAGGTATTTATTTAATCAACTATCAATAGCATTATGGCCGCGGGTTGAAATCTGGTTCGGCATCTACCTATATCATTGTTTAAAAGCATACTCTCTTTGTCCATGCAGGGAAAATTTTATATGTAATGATGGCGCTCTGGTTATACCCAAAAAGAAGCAGGGTATTATTAATAAAACAAAGTAATTCCATTTTTGCATTTCTTTAGTGGACTGAAATTGCTGAGATCAGTCATTAACAGTTGTTAGAAACATGTGCAGCTGGAGTGATTGTCCCCTCTAATGTTTTTGTAGGAAGGCACTTGCCCTTTTCTATTCAAAATGTGCCCCACAGACTGGCAGCGCCAGTACCTTCTAGGAGGATGTTAGCACGTAGATTCCCAGGCCCCAGGTGGACTTTCAGAATCAGAGTCTGTCTCTTAACGAGACTCCCACGTGACTTGTGTGCAGAGGAAAGCTGGGAAAACTCTGCTGTGGACAATATTCTCAAAGTCAATTTCTGAAGCTGTGTGGGTCCCACGCCCACATCACATCCACGCCTGTCTCTCTCTCTTCAGTCACTATGGTTTAGTATTCCTTGCACTCATTTTAGTCCTTATTTTTTAAAATGCCTCGCCCACAAAGGATCTATATAGGGTATCCACGGACATCCAGGGCCAAAATAAAACTCTTGAGAGTTTGTGACAATACAGGCAAGTTTCTCAGATGCTGAAATGTATAAGGTCGATGGGGTACAAACAGACTCCAGGATGCTTGAACAAAATCTGATAATCTCATGACATTTAAAGAATACCCTCACTACTAAATAAAGCTCATCTGAAGAGATAACGCTTTGCCTTGGGCAAAATTAAGGGGCCTGGTGTCCTACATTTCTTTGGGGCAGAAAATAAACTGGTTGGGATTGGTAAGACGTCCCAAAGGTGACTTCTCATTTCATTCAGACCAGGACAGATTTGGGTCCCACCTCAAGCCGTAGGTGACCGTGAATGTGCAGGCCCTGCAAACAGACGCACACGTACATGTGAGCCCACATGCACACGCATACACATGTACACACTTGCACGCACGTGCGCAGGTGCTGGCTGTTTAAGCACAACTGTGGGAGTCGTCAGTGAAAGACCTCTGTGACTAGGAGAGCGAGTCCCCCCAAATATGCTTTTGTGTATTGTTTCTGTAAAAATACGAACATTGGGACTGACAGAAAATGGATTCGGATTATTGGTGAAATGACGAACAGATTACAGCAAATCAGTCCACATCTTGATGTGACTACATTTACAAATGTCCTTCCATTAAACAAAAAATCTGTCTAAAACCTCTGTCCTGGAACTGAGCTAATTTACGTCAGATGTAAGTACGAATAATGGGGATCAAGTTTGTAACAGTTTAACAATCTCAATCCACACAGAAGAGGGAAGGTTTGTCTTTAGTTATTCAGGAGGTTTGCTTTTTTCTTTTTTCTGTTGATAACTTTGTGGTGGGTTGCTTTAGATATCCCGAAAAATATATTACATTTTAAAAAATATATTACATACGAGTATAGCTAGCTATGAATGCTTTTAGTACTTAGACTTTTTTAAAAAAATTGTATGTTGTGGTATAATCAACAGGAAGATGATGCCTCTGGCATGTTTACAGCTTTTCTGCTGCACTAGTCACTCTTTTCATAGTGTTCACATCAGTGCTAATTTAAATGTGATCCAGATTAGAAATCTTGGTTCCTTATATTGCATATGGTACAATGATGGAGCATAAGATTCAGAATGTTTTTGTATGTTTACTTAGCATATTAATTTTAGTCAAATTCAGGAGACTTGATTATCTGATCTTTTGTATTACACACAAAACAAATATGCAGAATGTCTTAAAAACTAGTACACATACTAGTCAATAAATCATATTATAACATAATTAATAACTAGCTCTGAAGTTACGTCTGATTTGAAACTTACCATTTTCCAGGTACACTTAACCGTTATTACTCTGTATAAAATACCCTCATGTTAGTACCTAAAAAAGGAGTTCAGGCAGTAAACTTATTTGACTACATCTGGTCAACCGTTTGATTGAAACAGATTCAACACTTCCACGAAGGAGTGGCCAAGCTAATGAAGTATGTTTCACGCAAAAAGGCTTTTGAATTTTGAAATATTTTGATGCCTTAGGTCTTGGCAATGAGACTATTCAAAAATGTTGCATTCCGTTTGAGAAGCCACAGGGTCAACAGCAGCAAATCAGTGTAATCTGCAGGCAGTCTTTTTTCAGTAATTGAATCCATGGTACTAACATGATATCTGCAGCCCGGGGTACCAGACAGCCCAGCAAAGATTCGCTCATTGCTCTTGACAGTGACTTTGAGTTGCAATTGAGAAGCACACGCTGGTTCCCTTTTTACCACTAGGGAAATGATAACACAGAAAAGAGAGTCTCTAGAAATCTAAAATAACCAGCTAAAGGTGAAGAGTGTCCCTAATTCGTGAACCAGACGTTCAGACAAATTTAAACAACCAGTTTGATTGATTTTTATTTGAATTACATTTCTGATTTTAGTTGGCTGTGATTTCAGCATTACCAAATATGTTTAAAAAGTGGCATTTCTACTGTAGTGTGGAAAAATGTGGCACCTCCATATACTTCAGTAGATTCTTTATCCCTTGTTGGATCCTCGGTGCACAAGCAGGATCTGGAGGGAGGCGGGGGCGGGGGGACTTTAGGTCTTTGATTTGTAGGGCTGGTTCTGCACGGTCACATTGTCTGTCAGCGTCTCAGACGTCGGAACACACGGTGCAATGAAGTCTCGTTTCCTCAGTCTTGCCTAGCTTCTCCTCACCTATTAAATTTTGAAACAACTAATTTTGGATGGAGCTTATGTGATCGTAGCTTTACATGATGCACTTTATTTTTTATGAAGCTGCTCTCATTTCAAATCTTTATTTCCAAGTTCTGTTTTGTGCACTCAATATCCAGCTTCTGATTATTTGATTCTAAATAGGTCCAAGATGCATATTCATTTCCTTCCCCTGGAAATATTTACACTGGAAGGTCTAAAACATGTGGCCTGCTGGATCCTTGAAGGCAGCCTTTTGACTGAATCCAAATTTTACAGGACAAATCCCTTGGGTAAAGGGATAATTCTAAAGCTTAATTCTAAAGCTTAGCGTTCATTTTCACATGATGAACTGTATACATTTTACTCTTTGTGAACTTAACTTTTGTCTCCAATCAGGATGACCCACCAGCAATAGGTAATTTTCTACTCTTAGAATGAGCATCTTCTAAGTGGCATTGAGGTCTCTGGAGTTGGAATTTGCAGAGAAATGGTATGATTTGAATCTAACGGGGATTTTAAATAATAAAGGAGTCACTTCTTAAGTATTAGTATTTGCCAGTAAACTCTGTTTTTGTTATTTTTGAAAGGACAAAGTCTTTGTCTTTGGAGCAGGGAAGACATTCAGAAAAGCACAAGAAATGCGGGCTTGTGATTGGTCAACTAGACTGTCACAGAAGGGACTCTACCAGTGCAAAAGAACTTCCTTGTGGGGGGGAAATTTGGTTATTCAGGCTTATAGTATAAGAAACTGCCATTCTGTTCTGGTTTCCCAGGAGAGGCAGTTTTCTTGGACTCTTAAGAAAAACTGATGGTTTAACTCCAACTTTTCACCAAAGTTTTTCCACTAAATACTTAATGGAACGAGAAACAGGAGACTGAAATAAAGCTTCAGCCATTTCACTTTATCTTCACTCTCTCTTGCTGCTCCCAATCGCCCCCCAACTTCGCGCATGCCTGCTGGACTGTCAATTTCCCCCCACCTTCGCGTATGCCTGCTGGACTGTCAATCTCCCCCCAACTTCCCACATGCCTGTTGGACTGTCAATCTCCCCCCAACTTTGCGCATGCCTGCTGGACTGTCAATTTCCCCCCAATTTCTCGCAAGCCTGGTGGACTTTCAATCTCCCCCCAATTTCACACATTCCTGGCAGATTGTTTCTTCATATTTTCTATTCATTCAATCAAGTCAAATAGTTTGATGGCTTAAAAAACCAATTAATCCAAATTTATCATGTGTGGACCTTTAGACATCCAAAAATTAGTGATAAGAATTTTTATTTTTCAGTTGGTATGTTGGCAGTGTGTAAAAACAGAAAACAAAGAGAAAGAAGGTTGTTGATTGGGGTTGGCAGTTAATTTCTAATAAAATCACAAGAACGGAGGGTGGAAGTCAAAGACACAACTCACACATGAGCATAAATGCGATGCAGGTAGGTAAAGGACATAGAACTCCTGACACAACAGGGGAGAGTTAGGGCGTCTAGGCCCACTGTACAGAGGGCCGTGCCCTGGGTTCAGTTGTCTGGTGCCTGTGTCCCATGTTAACTTTGTTCAGATGCCTTCAATGTCCTGGATTCAACTTTTTTTTTCAATGCATTTCAAAATTGCCTTTGGCAATCAGTAAAATCTGCACATTTAACTGGAAGTCCTATATTTGCCCAATCTGACAAATTTACAAAGAGTACCCATATAATCCCAGACCATGCCCTTTTCTAGAGGAGAAACAAATACAGGTCCCTGTATTTGGAGGTTACAAGAGGCATTCAAGTAGCAGTAGAGAAAGGAAGTCCTCCAAAAACATATTTCCTTGGTTGCCCAATGAGCAAAATTAAGTTTCAGCTGAACATAGGGGCCCAGCCTTTGATATCTTCCATGCCGAGTGGAGCAGTGTGGCCTGTGAACCTCCGCAGAGAGGAAAGGT